TATATGACATTCTGGAAAAGGTGGTCCATAGGCATAGAAACATCAATGATTGCTAGGGACTCTGGGCAAGGCCAGAGTTGACTCCAAATATGCATGAGGGAATTTTTTGGAAAGAAAGGAACAGTTTTATATCATGATGTGGTGGCAACATGACTGAAAACAATTTTCAAAACTCACAAAACTACACTGAAAGTGGTAAATTTTACTCTCTGTATATTACACCTAAAAAAATTTCATGCTTGGCTCATTGAGTATGGAACAGACGAGCTGACTGTTGTAAATTAGGTAACTTATCTTGTTAATTCAGGTCTCTTCCTCCTCCAGCATGTCTTAATCTGGCCATGGGTTTTCCCAGCATGTGCATCTGTATGGAGTTGCTGTAGGGGATAGCAGCAGTTGGAGTCCTTATACTCATGCTCATGCATGTGATTTTGAAGGCTTCAAGGATGGTGTGCATTGTGAAAAATTTCAAAAACACTCATCCTGTGGAAAGACCGGGCAATTAGGGAGCTCAGGGGTAGGGGGTGGCTGAGCCATGAGAAGCCCTGGCAGGCCAACCGGAGCTCACTGGGACACACGCACGGCTGGGCCCAGAGCCTCAGCCAGTGCACATGTGGCCAGACTGCCTTGGGGGTTGTCCCCCTGAGGAGTAAGGCGAGGATCGCACTCTCCACTGTCGGCCTGGTGGGCTGTCGCAGCTGACAAAACCTCACGTGAAACCACCCATTTCGCTTGGAGGCAGAAGAGTCTCATGTGTCCATGTGGGCGGATACGTTACATGGCACACTCTCTGCATCATCGAGAACGATGGCCGAATGCTTCCACTTCTCTGCAGCCACAGGCAGAGCCCATGCTGCCAGGGCCCTGCCCCTGCCCCCGCGGCACTGGCATCCTGGACACGAGCGCTGAGCTTCGCCGCAGACGCTCCTGACGCTCGCTGAGGGCATCCCAGCCACAGTAGCACGGCAGCACTCGTGTGTGGCAACCCAGAGGGATCGGGAATCCGGCCCCCAGGACCGTCCTCGGCCGATGAGAGAGAGGAGTGGATGATATGCATCCCAGCTTCTGTGCCTCTAGGTAGGGCCACCCGACGCTCGTTCGGCACGGTCTCCCCAAGCCCCGCAGCAGGCACCAGCTGTCCCCAGCAGCCTTCTGCTCCTGACTGTGCCTTTTATCACCTTCTTCCTCAGTCCTGACTCAGCTGCCCTTCCCCTGCCCAGAGTTTCTCAGGATGAACTCCAAGTAAACTCCTTGCACTCGAATCCTCTTGTCAGGGATGGCTCCTGGGGACCCCGCCCGAAGACACAGTCACCACAACAATTGAGCCTCTAGTCCATCCCAGAGGAGAGGGGGCAGATACACCTCTCTACTGAGAGAGGGGTACCCGGGGACATCAGCTGAGGGGCCGAGTGGGATCAAGCTCATGGTTTACAGAGCAGGGGACCTCAGGGTTCCGAACCCAGGGAAAGATAGGCGCCCCCCCCTCAACAGTATCAGGCAATACCTGGAGCCATGTTTTGTTCTTCCGACAGGGATGAAAGCTATTGCCATCTAATGGATAAGGCCAGGGATGCTAGCAAGCATCTTGCGGTGCCCAGGAAAGTACCCCCTAACAAATGTCACTAGCGCCAAGACTGAGAGCCCCTGGCAGAGAACACACAACAGTCAGAGGACCTGGCTCTGGGCAGTTGGCTCATCCCTAAAAGCAGGGGGCTGGGCAGGGGGTCCTGAAACCAATCACCTGGTGATACCAAGGGATGACTTATACACTTGCCCCAAGACAACTGACATGCCAGGAGACAATGATTCCTGTCCAGTCCTGAACAAGGGACATACTTCAGGAACTCTTAGTCAAGGAGTTATTAGTCCTATTTCAATAGATTCTATCTACTGTAATATGTAATTATAATTGCTATTGGTCAGAAAAACATTTATTTTATAGTAGTCTATAATTCAGGAGTTTCACCAATTGATTTTGGATTCTTCTCAGTTGTGACTCTTCAGAGTGAATATCCTATTATCATTATGTCTAAATCTAAACATCAAAAGGTTTAAAAAAAAAACAACTTGTTCAAAAGGCTGGCAGATTTCAAGGCAACAATATTAATAGAAAACAATGGCCCATAAAGTATCTAGGACTCAGTCATATCCTTCTAAACCATCCCTAGGACCGTAGCTATGGTCTACAGTTAGAGTAATCATTTAAACTGTCCTGCCAGCACCAGGAACAATAGTTCTCAACCCTATCAGACACAAACCACCTTTTAAAACAGTTTAATCCTGAACTGCAACTGCTAGACAATATAACTGAGCTACCACACGCTAAAAGCCCTTTCTGAAATAGCTAGGGAAATAAAAGGGAATAAAAGAATGTCGTGTTACCGTGCACATCTCTATGAAAAGCATCAGGCAGATCACGGGAAGAGTCATTGACGAATTCTGATGCTTGCGCCAAATACAGCAAGTGTCCCTGGAGTCAAGAGGTAGGAACTGAGTATGTTAAACTGGCGATGGACAGCAGGAGCAGTCCTGCCCTTGGGAACAAACAAATGACTCCTAAAACAGTGGGTAAATTTTGGTGACATGATCGCTAAGGAAAGATACGACCACTTTTCATGACCTTCCCAGCAACTGATTACCATGAAAATTGGTGTGTATTAAAGCCGTACAAAAAAAATGATGGATGTTTACGTTGGCCACTTGTAGTTTGGGATGCTTGCTTTCAAGGTTACATGAAGAGGGCCTGTCGCCACCCAGCAGTTGGCACAAGTGCGGTTTCAGACCCGGAAGTGCTGGCTGCAGGCCGGGCGTCCAGGAGGTAATTGAATGATGAGACCAGAATCTGCGACCTGCGCATGTGCACCTAGGGGGCGCTGTGCCGGGGGTGCGGGGCATGTGGAACCGCTTCCATCCACTTCCGGTCCATCTGCAGGAGCACGAGGCTAGACCAGCGCTGGATTTCCCCAAATCGCAGGTATTTGGCACGATGCTTGTTGGGGGGGTGGCGGGGGCGGGTTTCTTGGTGTTCATTTTGAGGTACGCTGCTCACTCCACAGTGGAGTGGCTGCGTTTGCAAGACTGCACATCGATACTTCAGGTAAGAGATTTCTCTCGGTTTGTCGCCCACTTACATGTTTTCTTCTTACAGGGTCCCCATCTTGTACGATAATGCAACAAGCTCCAGAGCAAGCTATGGATCGTGCAGAGTATGTCATTGCAACTGCCCAACAAAGACCGCCAAAAAGGAAATACTCCACAAGCGGAGAGATGTCTCTCCAGGAGAAACTGTATGACATTTATGTTGAAGAATGTGATGAAGAGCCTGAGGGTACGGAGGAATTAAGAAGCAACGTGAACCTGTTAGAGAAGCTCCTTAGGAGAGAGTCGTTGCCCTGTTTGGTGATCAACCTGTACCCAGGAAAGCAGGGCTATTCCCTGATGCTCAAAGGGAAACATGGATCATATTCAGAGAGCATTCCACTGCCTTATGAAGAAGGGGAACTGCTTGAATACTTGGATGCTGAAGAATTACCTCCTGTTTTGGTGGATCTCCTGGATAAGTCTGCGGTTAACGTTTTTCATCAGGGGTGTGTCATAGCAGAGATACGGGACTACAGGCAGTCCAGTGCCGGGGAACCTCCGCGTTACCAAAGCAGGCATATTCTCTTACGTCCCACCATGCAGACGTTAGTCTGTGATGTAGAGGCCATAGCCGGCGATGACCAGAACTGGACCCAGGAGGACAAACTTTTGCTTGAGAGCCAACTGATCTTGGCTACAGCGGAACCACTGTGTCTAGATCCTTCTGTATCAGTAGCCTGCACTGCAAACAGACTGCTCTATAACAAACAAAAGCTGAACACTCTTCCCATGAAAAGGAATCTCAAGAGGTTTTCTGTGCCCACTCTGAATCAGCAACAGGAGCAACAGGAGCTATCCCATTGTCCACCTCCTCCTGAGCTAAGAATCCCGACTTCTTGCAAAAATATAAGAGAAAGTAAAGCAAATCAACTGTATGACCTCAAAATTTCTAAAGCAGGCACTCGTGTAGATACGGGGAAACAGAGACCCTTTAACTTGGCTGTCCCTTCTCAAGTGGATGTGCAGAAATATGCTAAAGGGAAGAAGTCTGTCAGATATGAGGAGTCACAACCAACCCAGGAGGTACTAGGTGATCCTACAGTTGGATGTGAGGCTGCCTACCAATCCCAGGCAACAAGGTTGACCGTCAGGCAGCCAGCTGATAAGTCACTTGCCACTGGAAATGGGTCTGAGAAAGAAGCCACAAGGGAGAGAGAGCCGAGTCTGCCCCAGTCCTCCACAGATGACCACTTCAGGAGTTTCCTGTCCAAGCCACAGGCTGATGCTGGGAGAGTGGTCAGTCAGTCTGAGCAACTGGTCCAGAAGAGCACCCAGTGTCCAGTGCAGACGTCACCCAGCTCCAGTGGCTCAGCCCGTCTCAGGCAGCCTGCTCCAGGGACACGGTCAGCACAGCCTAGGATTGCGTCCATTCCGTCCTCAGTGCCAGACTGGGGAGCCAGACCTCCACCCCCACTCAAGAGACGTCCCTGGAGCCCAGAGAGGAGCTCCTGCGGTGACAGCTTTACCTCACAGCAGGCGGGCAGCTCTCAGGCCCGCCCATCTCCTGGCCCTGCTCCTCAGCCACCCAGCCTTTCCCAGAGATCGTCTGTGCCGCTGAACAGAGGAAGCTCGCTTCCTGCAGCCTCCCCGTCCACCACAGGCGCATTACAAAGAACCCCGGACGTCCAGGTCACGACCATCTCCCCTGGCCTGAAGGTCATCAAAGTAGTGGGCCCCTTTTGCTGTAGCCAGGCCTCAGGGAGAGGGTGTGCCCCTAGGGCCCCCGCTCCCGTGGGGATCCAGCCCGGTCAGCGGCCCGCAGGATCTCGGCTCCCGAACTGGAGGTCCACACCACCGCCGCTGCTTCCTCGTCCTTCTCCCCCTCCTCCCAGAACCATTCAGGTGCTTTTGGAAAATGCTTCGGACCTCAGGCCCTTTGCTCTGGTGGAGCTCCCCCGCAGTTCACCGGTCTGGAGCAGCCAGCAGCAAGCCCCGCAGCCATGTGTCTACCAGCTGGTTCCCCAGCAGGCCCCGCAACGGCCTCAACCGCCAGTGGCCCGGGCTTCCAGCACACGGCGTCCACGGGCACAAGCCCCACGAGCACAAGCCTCAGGGCCACAGTGTCCGAGAGCACAGACCCCAGGGCGACGGGGTCGAAGTTCACAGTGTCCGGGTTTACAGGCTCCAGGGGCACAGGGTGCTGCCCAGCCCAGCACCACCATCCACGCCCAGCCAGCAGTGCTCCTTCACCTCCAACGGCAGCAGGACCCCCTGCCACCCCAGGTGCCTGGGTTGTCTCCACCAGGCTCTGTCCAGAGCCGCCCGAGGCTGAGCATCTCGCATCACAGGATCCAGGCCTCACAGGCCCCAAGCCCGCCGATTTACTGGAGGGTAGTGCGGTGCCCAGTGGATGCAGCCCCCACAGCCCCCACCGCGCCACCCCCTCGGGGCCCCAATCCAGGCAGCCAGACCACAGGGATCCCGGAGGGAAGCCCCCCAGCCGCCCCCAAGTCCTGAGGCCTGCCTGGTTTTCTCTCTTTAAAAAAAAACCCAAGAGCAGCAACCTCACTTGGGTTATTTTTTAATGTGTCACTATTTTACATTCTTAGATGTGCAGACCTTCTGCAGAGGCACAATTTTTACATACAAGCCCCGAAGGTCTTTAATAAACTGGGATTATTTCACCTAAGCCATGGCTTTGGTAATGGTTGTGGACAGTTATTTTTTTGTGTGTGATGTTCTCAAGCGTATCCAGACCCAAACTAGGGTCAGTTTAAACTCCTGAAGCCTTGTTATTTCTCTCAGGCAATAAAGCTGTAATACCAAGAAAGTAAAAATTAGTATTAACAAGATGACTGTTTTTTAAGTTTTTCGATGAGTTACTAACACATGAACTGTGGCATCGTCACCATTTTACGTGTCCAGCTCACTGGTGTTCGGTGGACTCACCTTGTTGTACAACACATCTCTAGGATTCTTTTCTGCTTGCACAGATTCTTTTCTCCCCAAGGAGCACCAACTTCTCGGTTCCCTCTCCCCCAGCCCCAACCCCAGCCCTCTACTTTCTGGGTCTCTGAGTCTGGCTGAGGTAGATTCTTCCTAGAAGTGGGGTCCTGCAGTTGTCATCTTTGGTGAGGGGCTCACTTCACTGAGCATCCTGACTTCAAGGTCCATCCCTGTTAGCATGCCACAGGAAGGTCGTCGCTTTTCACAGAGGGTTTCACGGTGTGTAATCTACACTGAAGTTGCCTATGAAATATCGGAAACATCCTTCAGAAGAGAATGCACTTCCATATTTGTTTCAGTTTTTGCACAGTGTGTGAAATGCAATTTTCACACATTTTGGGGGAGAAAAAGCTAAACGTACCCAAAGTTGACCTTGTCACTTTAATGTTGAGGCCCTGGGCCCCTCCAGGTGTGCCGCAGGGGTGGGGCGCTTGCTTGCACGGTTGTCCCCAGCCCAGGCCGTCTCCTCCAGGCTGCAGCTGTGCGAAGGCACTTCTGGGATGTGGTTGTCTCCCTATAAAACCACTGACATTTTTGACATCCCTGGGTTATTTGCAGAAGGTAAATAGCTAAACGGTTGGAAATGAGTCGGTTTGTTTGTTTTTCAGGTGTTTTCAACCTTGTTACATTCGAGGTGACGTCCCCCTGCCCCCTTCCTCTCTGTCTCTTGCTGAGTGATCACCCGTTGGTCAGCCGCCCCTCTTCCTCTTCTCTATTTTTTTCCTTCTTTCTTGTTTCAATGGGGCTCAAAAGATCCCTGAACTTTTCTGTTTACTTCATCCCTTTCTTTCCCCCTTTTTTTTATTGTTATAAGTTTACGTAAGAATCAGCTATTTTAAACTGTACAATTCAGTGGCATTTACTCCATTTACAATGTTGTGCACTCACAGCTTCTATTTCCAAAACATTTTCATCCCCCAAGGGAAATCTCTGCACCATTCAGCACTCTTCCAAGCTTCCTCTCCCCACCCCCCTCAGGAAACCACCAATTTACATTCTGTCTCTATGGACTTCCCCATTCTCCAGTTTTCCTAAAAACGAAATCAGAGACTATCTGACCTTTGCTGTCTGGAGTCTTTCACTTGGCATGATGTTTTTGAGGTTCATCCATGTTGGCACAGGTCTCAGTACTTCCTTCCTTTTTAGGGTTGAATACCCTTTTCTTGTTTGTGAACACCAGATTTTGTTTATCCACTATGTGTTAATGTACATTTGAGTTGTTCCCACCTTTTGCCATTGTGAATAGTGTGGCTCTGAACATTTGTGTACAAGTATCTGAATGGCTCTTATATTTTGTTCTTATAACTTTGAAGGAGAACTTTCTTATAAAATTATTTTTTCTAAGTATGCATATATGCCTTTCGCCCTAACAAAGTAAAGGAAGTTTGGTCTGGCAGTTCCAAAAGAGATGAGCGAAGAGACAGATACCAGGCGGGTCTTACTTGATCAATCCAGCTGTACTAATGTGCTACAGATCCTGTTAAGGAAAGATTTGGTCAGCTTGAAGCCAACAACGCAGAGAGGCCAGCGGAGTGACCCTGAGTCCATTAGAGCTTCATGCAGCCCACACTGGACATCCCGGGAATGATGCCTGCACTTTTAAGGAGTGAAGCAGTGCAATGGCCAATTGCAAAGAAGAGTTTATGCTCAGCCTTGTGAGCCAACCAGACACCAGAACTCAATTTGTGTACTTCCTCTGTTTTGTCCTCACTGATCTTTTCAAGTGCTACATGGCGACACCAGCTGAAGTCCTGCTCCCTTCCCAGGCAAGCAAATAAATGCAGCTTTGTTTCAGATTACTGTTTGGTGGTCTTTGTTTATTTCCTTCTAATGGTCCTCACCAAGGTTGGTACTTGATACAGGATCTCTTTAGGGTATAATACCTGTCTATGTTTTGTGAATAAGCTTTTCATTCATTGTAGCATCTTGAGAACCTGCAGCCTCTTCCCTACCACAGACCAGATCCATGCACTTCATCTGAAATGTGTTCCCTGCAGGCTGTGTCTTCTGGACTTTAGGGCTGAGCATTCATAGTGAGGTGGTTGTGTGAAAGTAGATGGCCTCAGAATGTTATGATACAGAGCAGAGAAACTGATCCCAGTGATTATCATCCAGGAAAATCCAGGTAGACTCCATACAGCCTGGCTTGTTGGGGAGAGTTGGGGCCCTTGTCACAGGGTGGGGTTTTGAGCTCAGGATTATATTCCTCGAGGATAGTATCAAGTATAGGAAGGACTCCGGTTCTAGGTCAGCGCTGAAAGAAATAGAATATGAGTCCTATACATTCAAAATCTACTAGCCATGTTTTATTAAATAAAAAGAAATAGGAGAACTTACCTTTAGTGATTTAACCAAATATATCCAAAGGATTATCATTTCCTCATGTGATCAATATTTTAAAAAATTTAGCGAGACATTTTATTTTTAAGAATATTCTTTTCTTAAATTTATTTATTTTTGGCTTTCTCTAGTTGCAGCAAGCAGGGGTTAGTCTTCATTGTGGTGCTCGGGCTTCTCATTGTGGTGGCTTCTCTTGTTGAGGAGCACAGGCTCTAGGCACATGGGCTCAGTAGTTGTGGGGCATGAGCTTAGTTGCCCCATGGCATGTGGGATCATCCCAGACCAGGGATGGAACGAGTGTCCCTGCATTGCAAGGAGGATTCTTAATCACTGGACCACCAAGGAAGCCCTATATTCTCTTATTTTACTAAATCTTCAAAATCCAGACAGTTGCAGCCTGTCTAACTTCAGGTGCAAAATTTTCATCAGAAATGCTGGATCTGTCTTTACATTTTTACATTAAAAAATTTCTTCTTCCAAACATAGTTTTCAAGTAATTGAATCAAGTACCAGTTTTAAAATCTAAATGAGTTAAAGTTTTTTCTTCAATGTCACTAGCCATGTTCCAAGTGGTTAGCAGCTGCCTATGGCTCTGATGTTGATCTGTGCAGCTCCAGAGGAGCAAAGCAGATCATAGAGACAGCACCTCAGGAATGATTTGGGTACCAATTCTGGAGATAAGGCAGGAGCCGATCACCAGAGCACAAGGGTGGAGTGGGAATGATGACGCAGATCCCATGTGCTGTGTGGTGCTCTCAGGAATCCTCACTGCCTCTGGTCACCTGGGCCTGGACTTGTAGGTAGAGATCAAGTGACCCCAGCCTTGGAGCTCAGAGGGTGGGAGAGACTGGAAAACAAGGGTCAGCCTTTTGCTGACTGTATTCAAACAGGTGATGCAGAGGCACTAACCATCCCAGCAATTAAGTACAACTCACCTAGCCCACCCATACTCCGGGGAATCCCAGATTATTACTCTGGGGAGCTTGTAATCTGAGGGAATTTGAGAGGGGAGATTCACTATCAGCTCTTTCCCTTTCCTGTCACCCCTTCTCCTGTTCAGTGTCGGCAACTCGAGCTCTTTGGCACAGAGACCAGCACAGCCGTGAGCTGGGTGATGGGAGCATGGAGGCTCCTTCTTCTGTGAAGAAGTATGTTTGGCATATGTTTAAAATTGGCCATACAAGTGTAAATCGCTTTATGGCATTTTGAGTAATTGAAGGTTTGTGGCAACTCTGCATCCAGCAAATCTATCAGTGCCATTTTTCCAACAGCATTTGCTCACTTTGTGTCTCCGTGTCACATTCAGGTAATTCCCTCGCTCCTTCAAACTTTCTCATTGTTATTCTCTGTGTTACAGTGATCAGTGATCTTAGATGTGACTGCTGCGACTTGCTGAAGGATCAGATGATGGGTAGTATTTTTTAGCAACAACGTATTTTGAATTAAAGCATGTACATTGTTTAGACATAATGCCATCACACACTTTATATACTGGGAAACCAAAAAATTCACGTGACTTTATTGCGATCTTTGCTTTATTGGGGTGGTCTGGAAGTGAACCCGCAGTGCCTCCGAGGTTGGCCTGTGTGCATCCATTTGAACAATCAAGCTGCCACACCTTGCCCCGTACCATCCTTCATCTTGTGCCCAAAGTCCTGCCAAGCCCTGGCCCTTGGCTTGCCCTTCCTTCTTCCCGGCTTCACTGCCATAGCCACAGTAAGCAAAGGGTGTTCGAGTTAATTGTTAAATTCAGTTCAACAAGTTCCTCATTAGGGACAAATTACCTGAGTTTGAAATCTGCTAATTTTCCAATCAGAGTGAGTGTTTGCACTTGTGATTTGGAAATAATTACCATATGGTAAAAGCAAAACTTATGTGGGGATTAAAGTAAAGGTGAGGGAGGACAGGAGCTTACTTTAGTATCTTCCCTGGAAACTCATGGTATAAGTGCGGATCAGTAGAGGTGCCTCTACAGGGGACGCTCAACTGTAGCACCATTTGGCAAAGGCTGTTTACTCCCTGTGCTAATATGCCCTTGAAAGGTGACCGTGATCTTGAGGGGAGAGCCCTGTGGCCTTCATATGTCTGAACTGTGTCTGAAAAGAGAAGAGTCTTTTGCATTTAGCTCTTTCATCTAAATATACATCTCTACTTTTGCTTAGATCTGTCCTCTTTCTAAAACTTCTCTGA